CAAGAAATTTTAACACATGAGAGTACTCACAAGGTCAAAGGTGCATGTACAGCTTCCCATATTAAGTGTAATACCACCATTGATTTTCTCCTATTAGTCTTTGTTAAATTTGCACTTTTCAAAAAATTGTGCAGACTTTATCTTTGTTTCAAATAAAGAAATACTTGGCATGAGTAAAGTTTTATCCTGTCCAGTACTATAGAAAAAAATTCACATAACATTTCATTGCATATAAGAAAATAACCATCACTGGAAGTTAACCAATCAAATTTTCCCCCTTTTTTAACCTGTGTACAAGCTTTAGTAACCATGTGACCTCAAGTTTCAAAAATATTCTATAGAAACCCAAAATAAAAAAATAATGGTGCTTTGAAATACCCAAGATATATGTTTATGACCCAGAAATGTTTTACTGCAATGAAATGTAGGATCAATTACCTACAACTGTCAAATGCAAGGGAATATTTTTTTTCAACCTATTTTCGTATGCAACCGGATGTGACGTACTATGATTTGGTGGTATTACACCTAAAGAAGACTTTTTTGTTAAATAAACTGAATGTGACTTTTTTGTTAAATAAACTGAATGTGACTTTTTTCCTTTGTAATACTGGTTATTTCAAGCATTCCTGTCAAGTTTTGTCATAATCAGTTCAATAGTTTGAGAAAAATCTGGTATAATGTAAGACGACATCTACAGCGATTCGAGCAAAATTTCTTCGAAAAATCCAAACCAAGCCGCATCATGATAGAATATAGTGTGGACCAATAAATGATCAAATATTTATCTCATCTGCCTACAAACAGTTGAATATGATACAAAAGAAGACTTTAGGATGATAAATACTACTAATGGACCTCTTTGTCTTCCTTATAAGGTCTCTTTTGGTCCATTTATACCTCTCATTTCCTCAAAATTTCTACTTTTTAGGCCAATAAATAAAAATTTTGGGGTAACTTTCACTCATTTATGATAGAAATGTTATAATAAATGATTAATTGAAGTATTCAAGCTGAATGAACTATCCGTATAAAAGTTTACTGTCTCCAAGGAGGTTTCAATAAGTCCTTACGTAAAACTTAAATTTACGCCGCATTCCAGAGTGGGACATAAAAAGCTTCTCTTTTGGTGAATAATTTGTTGTTACTGCTTTAAAAATAATTTCATTTACTTAAAACTATATATTTATTAAAGTATTTTTTAGGAAAATTTTTCTAGTATAGCAGAATATAAGAAATAAGGAGAAAAAGCTCCCCAAAACTCTAAGTATGGCTTGTTCTGTCAACTAATATTCATGGTAAAGTCCTATTTCAAGGAAATTTTCTCATAAAATGTGTTTGGAGACTCAATCCACTCAGAATATTTCATTATTTGTAATATTTCACTTAAATAGCAAGAAATTTTAACACATGAGAGTACTCACAAGGTCAAAGGTGCATGTACAGCTTCCCATATTAAGTGTAATACCACCATTGATTTTCTCCTATTAGTCTTTGTTAAATTTGCACTTTTCAAAAAATTGTGCAGACTTTATCTTTGTTTCAAATAAAGAAATACTTGGCATGAGTAAAGTTTTATCCTGTCCAGTACTATAGAAAAAAATTCACATAACATTTCATTGCATATAAGAAAATAACCATCACTGGAAGTTAACCAATCAAATTTTCCCCTTTTTTAACCTGTGTACAAGCTTTAGTAACCATGTGACCTCAAGTTTCAAAAATATTCTATAGAAACCCAAAATAAAAAAATAATGGTGCTTTGAAATACCCAAGATATATGTTTATGACCCAGAAATGTTTTACTGCAATGAAATGTAGGATCAATTACCTACAACTGTCAAATGCAAGGGAATATTTTTTTTCAACCTATTTTCGTATGCAACCGGATATGACGTACTATGATTTGGTGGTATTACACCTAAAGAAGACTTTTTTGTTAAATAAACTGAATGTGATTTTTTTATTAAATAAACTGAATGTGACTTTTTTCCTTTGTAATACTGGTTATTTCAAGCATTCCTGTCAAGTTTTGTCATAATCAGTTCAATAGTTTGAGAAAAATCTGGTATAATGTAAGACGACATCTACAGCGATTCGAGCAAAATTTCTTTGAAAAATCCAAACCAAGCCGCATCATGATAGAATATAGTGTGGACCAATAAATGATCAAATATTTATCTCATCTGCCTACAAACAGTTGAATATGATACAAAAGAAGACTTTAGGATGATAAATACTACTAATGGACCTCTTTGTCTTCCTTATAAGGTCTCTTTTGGTCCATTTATACCTCTCATTTCCTCAAAATTTCTACTTTTTAGGCCAATAAATAAAAATTTTGGGGTAACTTTCACTCATTTATGATAGAAATGTTATAATAAATGATTAACTGAAGTATTCAAGCTGAATGAACTATCCGTATAAAAGTTTACTGTCTCCAAGGAGGTTTCAATAAGTCCTTACTGAAAACTTAAATTTACGCCGCGTTCCAGAGTGGGACATAAAAAGCTTCTCTTTTGGTGAATAATTTGTTGTTACTGCTTTAAAAATAATTTCATTTACTTAAAACTATATATTTATTAAAGTATTTTTTAGGAAAATTTTTCTAGTATAGCAGAATATAAGAAATAAGGAGAAAAAGCTCCCCAAAACTCTAAGTATGGCTTGTTCTGTCAACTAATATTCATGGTAAAGTCCTATTTCAAGGAAATTTTCTCATAAAATGTGTTTGGAGACTCAATCCACTCAGAATATTTCATTATTTGTAATATTTCACTTAAATAGCAAGAAATTTTAACACATGAGAGTACTCACAAGGTCAAAGGTGCATGTACAGCTTCCCATATTAAGTGTAATACCACCATTGATTTTCTCCTATTAGTCTTTGTTAAATTTGCACTTTTCAAAAAATTGTGCAGACTTTATCTTTGTTTCAAATAAAGAAATACTTGGCATGAGTAAAGTTTTATCCTGTCCAGTACTATAGAAAAAAATTCACATAACATTTCATTGCATATAAGAAAATAACCATCACTGGAAGTTAACCAATCAAATTTTCCCCCTTTTTTAACCTGTGTACAAGCTTTAGTAACCATGTGACCTCAAGTTTCAAAAATATTCTATAGAAACCCAAAATAAAAAAATAATGGTGCTTTGAAATACCCAAGATATATGTTTATGACCCAGAAATGTTTTACTGCTTTGAAATGTAGGATCAATTACCTACAACTGTCAAATGCAAGGGAATATTTTTTTTCAACCTATTTTCGTATGCAACCGGATATGACGTACTATGATTTGGTGGTATTACACCTAAAGAAGACTTTTTTGTTAAATAAACTGAATGTGATTTTTTTATTAAATAAACTGAATGTGACTTTTTTCCTTTGTAATACTGGTTATTTCAAGCATTCCTGTCAAGTTTTGTCATAATCAGTTCAATAGTTTGAGAAAAATCTGGTATAATGTAAGACGACATCTACAGCGATTCGAGCAAAATTTCTTTGAAAAATCCAAACCAAGCCGCATCATGATAGAATATAGTGTGGACCAATAAATGATCAAATATTTATCTCATCTGCCTACAAACAGTTGAATATGATACAAAAGAAGACTTTAGGATGATAAATACTACTAATGGACCTCTTTGTCTTCCTTATAAGGTCTCTTTTGGTCCATTTATACCTCTCATTTCCTCAAAATTTCTACTTTTTAGGCCAATAAATAAAAATTTTGGGGTAACTTTCACTCATTTATGATAGAAATGTTATAATAAATGATTAACTGAAGTATTCAAGCTGAATGAACTATCCGTATAAAAGTTTACTGTCTCCAAGGAGGTTTCAATAAGTCCTTACTGAAAACTTAAATTTACGCCGCGTTCCAGAGTGGGACATAAAAAGCTTCTCTTTTGGTGAATAATTTGTTGTTACTGCTTTAAAAATAATTTCATTTACTTAAAACTATATATTTATCAAAGTATTTCTTAGGAAAAATTTTCTAGTATAGCAGAATATAAGAAATAAGGAGAAAAAGCTCCCCAAAACTCTAAGTATGGCTTGTTCTGTCAACTAATATTCATGGTAAAGTCCTATTTCAAGGAAATTTTCTCATAAAATGTGTTTGGAGACTCAATCCACTCAGAATATTTCATTATTTGTAATATTTCACTTAAATAGCAAGAAATTTTAACACATGAGAGTACTCACAAGGTCAAAGGTGCATGTACAGCTTCCCATATTAAGTGTAATACCACCATTGATTTTCTCCTATTAGTCTTTGTTAAATTTGCACTTTTCAAAAAATTGTGCAGACTTTATCTTTGTTTCAAATAAAGAAATACTTGGCATGAGTAAAGTTTTATCCTGTCCAGTACTATAGAAAAAAATTCACATAACATTTCATTGCATATAAGAAAATAACCATCACTGGAAGTTAACCAATCAAATTTTCCCCCTTTTTTAACCTGTGTACAAGCTTTAGTAACCATGTGACCTCAAGTTTCAAAAATATTCTATAGAAACCCAAAATAAAAAAATAATGGTGCTTTGAAATACCCAAGATATATGTTTATGACCCAGAAATGTTTTACTGCAATGAAATGTAGGATCAATTACCTACAACTGTCAAATGCAAGGGAATATTTTTTTTCAACCTATTTTCGTATGCAACCGGATATGACGTACTATGATTTGGTGGTATTACACCTTATAGATCTAAGCTTGATCTTCTCAGTGCTTTATATCATCAGGTAATTGCAGTAAATTTATAAGCATTTTGTTGTCGTTCTATACTGAAAATGGCAAAGCAGTTACTGCTGACAGGATTAATGAAAGAACCTTAGTGAGCGCGCTCACATACCCCACGTCCCCACATTGTCATTGGAGAAATAAAATAAGTGTAAGAAAAAAAAATTGTATCAGAAAAAAAAATTGAATCATAATTTCCTGTTAATATGCACATCTACATTGTACGTCCTTATTATCTACACAGTTTCATAAAATTCTGTTGTATGGTTTGAGAGGAGTTGCGATGACAAAAGGTTGTAGTAGTATATTGGGCAAATAAGTTCAAAGGGGCATAACTCCTGGAAAAAAATTTGAATCGTAATTTCCTGTCGATATGCACATCTACCTAGTATGTCCTTATTATCTGAAAAGGTTTCATGAAATTCTGTTGTGTGGTTTGAGAGGAGTTGCGATGACAAAAGGTTGCAGTAGTATATAGGGCAAATAAGTTCAAAGAGGCTTAACTCCTGGAAAAAAAATTGAATCCTAATTTCCTGTCGATATGCACATCTACGTAGTATGTCCTTATTATCTGAAAAGGTTTCAAAAAATTCTGTTGTGTGGTTTGAGAGGAGTTGTGATGACAAAAGGTTGCAGTAGTATATTGGGCAAATAAGTTCAAAGGGGCGTAACTCCTGGAAAAAAAATTGAATCGTAATTTCCTGTCGATATGCACATCTACGTAGTATGTCCTTATTATCTGAAAAGGTTTCATGAAATTCTGTTGTGTGGTTTGAGAGGAGTTGCGATGACAAAAGGTTGCAGTAGTATATTTTGAGAGGAGTTGCGATGACAAAAGGTTGCAGTAGTATATTGGGCAAATAAGTTCAAAAGGGCGTAACTCCTGGAAAAAAAATTGAATCGTAATTTCCTGTCGGTATGCACATCTACGTAGTATGTCCTTATTATCTGAAAAGGTTTCATAAAATTCTGTTGTGTGGTTTGAGAGAAGTTGCGATGACAAAAGGTTGCAGTAGTATATTGGACAAATAAGTTCAAAGAGGCTTAAGTCCTGGAAAAAAAATTGAATCGTAATTTCCTGTCGATATGCACATCTACGTAGTATGTCCTTATTATCTGAAAAGGTTTCAAAAAATTCTGTTGTGTGGTTTGAGAGGAGTTGTGATGACAAAAATTTGCAGTAGTATGTTGGGCAAATAAGTTCAAAGGGGCGTAACTCCTGGAAAAAAAATTGAATCCTAATTTCCTGTCGATATGCACATTTACGTAGTATGTCCTTATTATCTGAAAAGGTGACATGAAATTCTGTTGTGTGGTTTGAGAGGAGTTGTGATGACAAACTGTTGCAGTAGTACATTAAAGTAAATAAGTTGAAAGGGGCGTAACTCCTAGAAAAAGAATTGAATCGTAATTTTCTGTCGATATGCACAACTACATAGTATGTCCTTATTATCTAAAAAGGTTTCGTGAAATTCTGTTGTGTGGTTTGAGAGGAGTTGCGATGACAAGAAACAGGACGGACGGACAGACAGACAGACAGACAGACAGACAGACAGACAGACAGACAGACAGACAGACAGACAGACAGACAGACAGACAGACAGACTCGTCTGTTTTACTGACCATTGATTTTATGATGAAAGTCTTAAAGATAAAGGTTTTACTACAAGTATCACATAAACTTAACATTTTTAAAGATCCATGACAATGAGGTCAAGGTCAGATAAAAACTGTCACACAGACATGTACACCTTACAATTATTCCATACACCAAATATAGTTGACCCGTTGCTTTTAGTAATTGAAAAACAGACCAAAACACAAAAACTTAATGATAACCAATGAACCATGGAAATGAGGTCAAGGTCAGATGATACTGGCTAGACAAACATGTACACCTTTAATACAATCATTCCATACACCAATCATAGTTGACTTATTGCTATTAGTATTTGAAAAACAGACCAAACATTGACCAATGAACCATGAAAATGAGGTCAAGGTTGAGATGGCACTGGCTAGAAAGACATGTACACCTTACAATCATTCCATAAGCCAAACTATAGTATACCTATTGCTTATAGTACTTGAAAAACAGACCAAAACATAAAAACTTAACATTGCCCAATGAACCATGAAAATGAGGTCAAGGTCAGATGACACCAGCTAGACAGACATGTACTCCTTACAATCATTCCATACACCACATATAGTTGACCTGCTGCTTGAAGTATCTCACAAACGGACCTAATCACGTAACTTTAACCTTGATCACTGATCCATGAATTGAGGTATAGGTCAGGTTAACCCTGTCTGACAGACATGTAGATGTTGCAAGGAACCCATATACTAAATATAGTTATCCTATTACCTAAAAATCTTTTTGAAGCAGTCACTGAACCATGAAAATGAGGTCAAGGACAATGGGCATATGACAGAAGGAAACTTCTTAACATAAGGTATCTGCATACAAGGTATGAAGCATCCAGGTCTTCTACCTACTGAAATATAAAGCTTTATACAAATAGTTTACGCAGCTGACGCCGGATAGTAATACCTATCTCTCACATACTAGGCGAGACAAAAACCATTGCTGAGGAAGAAACCAATCTGAATGATGTACCCCACCAAATAAATCTAGACCGGTTATCATTACCGACACGCCACCATCAATTCAAACTGAAAATAAACATCAGTGCACACTCTTAAATGTCTCTCCTGCTTTACTGACCATTCATTTTATGTTAATATAAAACGAAGATGTGGTATGATTGCCAATGTGACAACTCTCCACAAGGGTCCTCAATATAAAGTTTTACTACTAAGTATCACATAAACTTAACATGAAACAAGAAAATGAGGTCAACGTCAGATAAACCAAGCCAGAAATACATGTACACCTTACAATAATTCAATACACCCAATATAGTTGACCTTTTGCTTATAGTTTAAGAAAAACAGACCAAAACACAATAAATTGCTTAGCCGAGCGCAGCTGGATACAACCGCAGAGGTCTAATCCTGAACAGTTGGGGCAAAAATGGACACAATACTCGCGCTTGATACAGGTCTGAATTTGGATTGTAATTAAACATTTGACACGACACAGAATAACTGTAGTCAAAGAACTTAGAATTGGTTATATGATTTGAATTTATATTCAATTTTTTGCTTTTGTGCAATACACTATGCTGTTGCGAATTATTTCCCTCAAGATATGGTCATAATCTCAATTCAAATTTCCAATGGAGTTTGCAACCATAATTACCCATTTAAATACATCATTAAAGTCTTAAAATAGAAAATGACATACATAATCATGGCTAAACAGCATTTTTAAATAGTAACTTCTAAAAATAAATTGACAGCTAATCACCTCAAGACAATACAACATTTCTTGAACATAATTTAAAAGCAGTGTAAGGGAGGTAAACCAAACATAACATTGTACTTTTATTTAATTGTCCATTAACCAGGAAACCCTTGTTTTTCCCCCTTATTTGCCCCTTATTCCTAAACGGTTTGAGCCATAACCCCCCCAAAACCAATCCTAACCATCCCTTTGTGGTATGGAAACTTGTGGTATAATTTCAGAGAGATCCATACACCGTTCCACAAGTTATTGTCTAGAAACTAGAAAAATGCTTATTGGGGCCCCTTTTTGGCCCCTAATTCTTAAACTGTTAGGACTATAACCCCCAAAATCGATCCCAACCTTCCTTTTGTGGTTATAAAGCTAGTGTTTAAATTTCATAGATTTCTATTTACATTTACTAAGGTTATTGTCCGGAAACCAAATGTCTTCGGACGACGCTGACGACGTGATTCCAATTTACGACCGCAAAAATTTTTTGGGGTCGTATAAAAACTTTGAGCAATGAACTGTGAAAATAAGGTCAAGGTCAAATAAAACCTGCCAGACTGACATATACATCGTAAAATATTTCAATACACTAAATATAGTTGACCTATTGCATACAGTATAAGAAAATAAAGGTGGATAGTGTCCACATGTGGACACAGATGATGCCCCCGCTTGCATATCATATAGTTATAAAGGGACATAACTGAAGAACGGTAAAAGTGACGCTACCCAAATTTGAACTTGATCTAAGTTTTTTAGTAATAAGCATTGTGTGCAAGTCTCATAACATTTAGTTGAGGCAAACTTAAGTAGAGAACAGAAACTAAAAATTCAGCAATTTTTCTATTTGTAAACACGCATAACTCTAGAACGGTTGTGTATAAGTTTTATAACATTTGGTTGAGACTAACTAAAAAATTCAGCAATTTTTATGTTTATAAAGGGAGACATAACTCAAGAATGGTAAAAGCGTTGCCACCAAATTTCGTACTTAATCTGTATTATGTAGTAATAAGCATTGTGTATAAGTTTCATAACATTTGGTTGAGGCAAACTAAAGTTAGAAAACGGAAACAAAAAATTTGTACCTGATCTTAGTTATGTGGTAATGAATATTGTGTATAGGTTTCATAATGTTTGGTAGGGGCAAACTTAAGTTACAGAATGGAAACTAAAATTTTTACAATATTTCGATTTATAAAGGGGCATAACTCAATAATGGTTAAAGTGACACTACCCAAATTCAACTTAATCTGTGTTTTATCAGTGGAAGTCAAAATTAAACATTGCATTGTATAAAGCATTGATTGTAGTTGATTCAACTATAATCATGGACAAAGGAAGATAACTCCAATTTTTAAAATTACTTGATATTTAGAAGAAAACAAAAATTTTGCAATTTTTCCATTTATAAAGGGGTATAACTCTAGAACGGTTAAAGTGACTCCACCAGAATTCAAACTTGATCTGTGTTTTGTGGTGATATGCATTGTGTATAAGTTTCATAACATTTGGTTGAGGCACACTTAAGTTAGAGAACGGAAACGAAAAATTCAGCAATTTTTCCATTTTTAAAGGGGCATAACTCTAGAACGGTTGAAGTGACGCCACCAAAATTCAAACTTGATCTGTGTTTTGTGGTAATAATCATTGTGTATAAGTTTCATAACATTTGGTTGAGGCAAACTCAAGTGAGAGAACGGAAACCAATTTTGGTACTTACGTACGTACAGACTAACAAGTGTAAAACTTCATGCCCCCACTGCTACGGCGGGGGCATAAAAAGACTAAAACACTAACACTTAACTTTAACCACTGAACCATGAAAACGAGGCCAAGGTCAGATGACACCTGCCAGTTGGACATGTACACCTTACAATCACTCCATACACCAAATATAGTAGACTATTGCTTCTAGTATCTGAGATATGGACTTGACCACGAAAACTTATTAGTTAACCTTGTTCACTGATCCATGAAATGAGGTCGAGGTCAAGTGAAAACTGTCTGACAGGCATGAGGACCTTGCAAGGTTTGCACATACCAAATATAGTTATTCTATTACTCATAATAATAGTTATCAAAGCTGAAAATGTAAAGTGGGATTTCACTGAAAATACCAGTGGAGTTTCATCAGAGATCCATTGGAATACCACTGTATTACCACTGGGAAATTTGGTCGGGATTTTCATTGGACATTCATTGTTTTCCATTGGGATATCAGTGGAATATCCAGTGGGATTCCGGTGAATACTCGAGTGGAATACAGTGGAAATTCCATTGGAATACCAGTGAAAACTTCGTTGGAATACCATTGTTTTCCCACTGGACATTTATTGTTTTCTACTGGGATACCAGTGGTAATTCCATTGGAAATTGTAACAATCAACCGAAGAAAACCAGTGATATTTCAATGGAAATTGACAATTCCACTGAAATTTTAGATATCATTTTGCATGCACTGCTTATTTTTGAATGAATTAATAAGAAAACTTGAAATAAGACAATAACCGTTTTAATGCAAGTCAACAATTAAAGAAATTACAACAGTTTATACATCATCCACATTTAAGACCTTTTAAACGAAAAAATCAACCTCTTTAAAATATTAACGTTGATAAATTATCATTTTTTAGTCAAAGATGTATTTACTTAATTGTACATGTAAATCA